TTCTGCTTTCCTTTAATTAACACATTATCTGTTGCTTGCTCTTTATTCCACAATGTGAAGAGAAGTTGACTGTAATCATATTTTCTAGTGAGGTCATATTGGGTTAAGTGACGCTAACCATGATAATTTGTGTTTGTATTTATTTCAGAGTGGAACTGTCTATAATGTCATCAGAAAGCACAGTTAATAGAATGCATACGACGAATGGCTGAAAAATAATTCAACTTTATTTTCGATTACTGTAAACGAACTCACCAAGCTTCAATAACACATGTTCACTTACATTTGTGCAATTTTACGATAACATATAGAAACTATTGGTGTAGCTGTGGCAGGACTGCTGCCTTGTATAAGATGTGGCTACTCTTTAGTGGACTGGGGAAAAAAAGATGAATGTGCACTGTCATGGTAATATTCATGCACTTTATCATATCTGGAATGAGTCTGTAGAACAACACTGCCACGTTTGTTTGTTCTGTTAACCATTTCTTTGTTAGATTATGATTTATGCTGTAAGTACACTATTGTCAGTTTGGGTCTTTATCCTATGCTTTGAGACCCAACAAGATCTGGCATTATTTGTTGCTCTGGAGCACTATTTCAAAATGATTGCTTCAGTGTATCATTCACTGATAAATGTGTACCAGGTAAAAACCTCACTGACTTGTACGCAGCACAGTTCGAAAGTGAAAACTATTTTGCAGCCTTTTGCAAATTCACAGTACCAGTACTGCCAACAGATGTTACCTAATCCTCAGGATGTATTCACAAGTACTTAGTGCTCTTCAAATCCAGTTTGTGCCTATGGTGAGGAACCACGCAAGAAAAAAAAATTACGGGAAAGAGATGAGGTTTTAAGTTTTTATAGTAAGCATATCATGCCCCTTCGAGTAAAATAACAAGTTTTTTTGTCACTTTAGTAAATGTATTTTTATAACTGGATATCTATAATCATCAAATTTTAGTTGAGTAGTAGACCGTGAAATTTGATGTTATATTTAATGAAGACAGTGCATGTCTCAAGACTTGTGATTTTCTAAATTAAAAAAAGAATTGAATTTCACAGTCAGCACATTGCATGTGGTGGAGTTGTAACTGTGCATGGCATATTATTGAGGGAGTTTGGAGTAATAGTTGCGCAAGTTGAAAGGAAGCCCGAGTGAATGTGACCAAAGACTGTAAACCGTTTGTTTTTACTTGGCAAAATTCATTTCAAGAAATCAGTTTACTATATTTAGTGGAGTGTAGTGGAGGGCAATGGTATATTGTGGTAACTCAAGATAAATAGGTGCATATTTAGAAGGAAGCACAGAGGATTGATTGCAAATGGAAGACTGTATACCAAGAGTTTATTTTTAATTTATAAAACCAACTTTTATTAAATCAACAGAATTCATGTACAGTTATGACTATTATATAAATTTGTTGTATATTATTGTGCGTAGTTGTGATATGTAGTCGTTTTAAAACGAAGCACAAATAAATGAAGCGTGTGTCGTTTCTTGCTTGATACACTTGAACGATGATGTTTTCTTATGGTTCATGTCACAGTATTTTCTTGTAAACCACGCTTTCACCACTTTACTAAAAATTAAAAACCGCCCTTCTATCGAATTCTAGCTCATTGGGTCAAAGTTCTGTATTGTTCCGCACCTATGTTGTGTCATGCAGGCCATTTACCTGAGCTGTGCGAAATGAAGATAGGAACTGCAATTCAGAACTTTTGGCTTACATGTTTTCAGCTGTTGAGTGTACAATCTACTTTTCCAATATTCTGTAATATACACATGGTATATGCAGCTGCGAGCGCCGTAAAACCCTCTACCATAATAGAAAGACTCCTGTAATCATAAGATTGCGGATTGATGGCTCAGGGCTCAGTTTGATCTGATCCTTTGTCCTCAGGAAAGGCACTTTACACTGATCAGTTCTGCTGGGAATGCATGTTCATTTCGGAGGTCCTGCCCTGCAAATAACCTTACAGTGTTGCAAGGGGCAGTCAACCTGCACAATTTCGATTTTCAATTTGACTTTGAGATTGTACGTCCTTTTCTTTTTTCAGCTACAATGCAATGGACAGAACTTGAAGTTCCTGGCAAGTGTCCATCTCCCCGAAGAAGACAGTGTGCTTGTGTGGTAGGCTCCAAAGTCTACTTCTTCGGGGGAACCAGCCCAAAAAGCCCAGACAAAGGGGCACCCTTAAGACAAACAGATTCAGACCTCATCGATCGTTCTGATTTGTTTGTCTTAGATTTTGGTAAGTTGGTCTCTGAACACTGGTGTTGCTCAGGCTTTAGATTTGACACTAGATTCATGTTGTGAAAAGTTTTGATTTGTCAGATCAATTATTCAGTGTCAGAACGCTTAGAGTCTGTCAACGTGAGAGGGTAAAATAAAGAATATTACTTCAACCCTAGAAGGCAAAATGAATATATATATATATATGTATTCCTCTGTTAGTAAATTTATAGACTTTATCTTTATCTTTTTCTCTTGATTTGATTGAAACGCTTTGGGGCATTCTGTTTGAGAATGAAAATTGGTTTCTATTACTTTTTTTTTTCTTTTGGGTTTTTCTTTCGCTTCATTTCAGGATGTCAAAGTGATAGTGAGTCGGTTTTTTTCAATAGTTCTTATGTGTGCTGACTTGTCTTTGGGACTTTAAGCCCTTGACTGCTCTCCGTATATGCACCCCATGATAAGGAAAATTTCACCGTCACGAGATGTCTCGGGTCATAATCTTTAATCGATGTTTGTTGGCTTTTTATAAGAGACAGATCGGTAAAACTTATATCAATAGCTAGAGCAATGAAGAGATGAATTCATCCATTGACATGACCTTCTTAGAACAAGCCATAATGATGTAAACAACTCTAATGTATTGAAACTGAACAAGCGCTCTGATTCTATACGTTGGCTCTGTCCGCACGATGTGTGTTATAAAGACAACACACTTCTCTTTTTTCTATCTGTAACAAAGCTCACGCTTCCAATCAAACTATGTATCAATAGAAGGAGAAATGAAGAGATGGCTTTGTCCATAGACAAGGTCTAAAACTTACTAAAACTAAAGACAAGATCTGGGTAGAACAAGCCATAACATTAACAATGCAAACAACTGAGACTGAACAAGTGTTTCAAGTCCACTTGACTTCTCTGACTGTTTCACGTGACGTGTGTAAGAAATATAACACACCTTGATCTGTTTTCGGTTATAGAACCTGCAGTCCCCGTCCATTAGTCTATATGTGTAGACATGACCTCACAACTGAAATGGTAAGCTTTCAAAGGATGTCACTCTCTTTATTCAAAATTTAATAGAAGCTGAGATAGCAATGAAACAAAACACGAGTTTTAGCTGCCTTACGTGATACGTTTATAGAGTACTAGGCAGCAAATTATCGAGGCATATGAAATATGTCTACAGCGCAGTCTTGGGCATATGTTGCTGTTACTGGAGCAGAATTTCAGTTTAGCTATTAGGCAGGATGTAGTCGGTTATAAAATTGTTTAAATATATTGTGCTACGCCATTATAAGAAACCTTTAAATGATTTTATATTTAATTTAGTAATTTCATGGACTTTGTGTGCTTTCAGAACCCTCACTGAAGACCTTGTCCTCACTGGTGATTCTTGAGCACAATCTTGATCGAACGTATCTACCTCGTGAACTCAGGTAGGTTTGATTTTGTGCGTTTTCAGAGCCTAATGTGTTGGTGGTATAGAATGGGCATTCTAATGAAGAAATTGCACCTTTTAGCAGCTCTCCGATTTGGTGCATGTTTGAGAAAACACTGTGCAGACATGTAATATTTAATTCAAATATTCAAATTATGGAGCACAGAGCATAAACTGAATTCTGAAACTGTACCACACTTTGTTCTTTTTCTTTTTCTATTCCAGGCAATTGGTCAAATCATTATTTGTCTGACCCTTTGACCAAATAGATTTAATAGGAGATACAAACTACTTTTTGCATTTATCTATATGGTATGTGCTCCACTGTTTTGGGACTTTGGCTTAGTATTGCCATCTATATTCTTTACTTGACTGGCCTTAGATAGAGTTAGTGTGGGTGGTTGGCAGATGCTCTAGTGTGGTTTGCTCCTTTTTTCTTTAAAAAAATATGGTCCTTACCTTTCCTCCTTTTTTTTTTGCATGTTACCCTCTTGTAACATCTCAAGTCTTCAGCTCATAGATCTATATGACATGACCTATTTGTGTTGCAAGTATCTTAAAGTAAAAATCTTAAAACTTTAAATACTGCTTAATAAAGTCTGTTAGTCTCTTTGTTTGTTAATTTGTGGTGGTTGTAAGATGAGATATATTATGAAAGTGGGTGGTTGGCGGGTGCTCTGGTGTGGTTTGCTCCTTCTTTCCTACCGTCTATGGTCCTTATCTTCCCTTCTTCTTTTTTATGATTGTTTTTCTCTTGTAACACCTCTAATCTTCTGGCGCTCATTTGACCTTATGCAGTTGCGAGTGCTGTAAAACCTCTACTAAAGAAACAACTGACTTTAAGCAGTTGCGAACGCCGTAAAACCTCTACAAAAAAAATGTTTTTTAAAGATAATGAAAGTGGTGTGATAATATGTCTAAACATATAGGTAGAGGAGTCTTGATGTCAGCGAATGTTACTGCTAAATAAATAAGTACATGCATAACAAAGATTTGTTTTTTTGTTCTGTTTTCTTGTATTTTATACATTATCTGTTGCTCTTTATTCCACAATGTGAAGAGAAGTTGACTGTAATCATATTTTCTAGTGAGGTCATATTGGGTTAAGTGACGCTAACCATGATAATTTGTGTTTGTATTTATTTCAGAGTGGAACTGTCTATAATGTCATCAGAAAGCACAGTTAATAGAATGCATACGACGAATGGCTGAAAAATAATTCAACTTTATTTTCGATTACTGTAAACGAACTCACCAAGCTTCAATAACACATGTTCACTTACATTTGTGCAATTTTACGATAACATATAGAAACTATTGGTGTAGCTGTGGCAGGACTGCTGCCTTGTATAAGATGTGGCTACTCTTTAGTGGACTGGGGGAAAAAAGATGAATGTGCACTGTCATGGTAATATTCATGCACTTTATCATATCTGGAATGAGTCTGTAGAACAACACTGCCACGTTTGTTTGTTCTGTTAACCATTTCTTTGTTAGATTATGATTTACGCTGTAAGTACACTATTGTCAGTTTGGGTCTTTATCCTATGCTTTGAGACCCAACAAGATCTGGCATTATTTGTTGCTCTGGAGCACTATTTCAAAATGATTGCTTCAGTGTATCATTCACTGATAAATATGTACCAGGTAAAAACCTCACTGACTTGTACGCAGCACAGTTCGAAAGTGAAAACTATTTTGCAGCCTTTTGCAAATTCACAGTACCAGTACTGCCAACAGATGTTACCTAATCCTCAGGATGTATTCTCAAGTACTTAGTGCTCTTCAAATCCAGTTTGTGCCTATGGTGAGGAACCACGCAAGAAAAAATTTTTACGGGAAAGAGATGAGGTTTTAAGTTTTTATAGTAAGCATATCAGGCCCCTTCGAGTAAAATAAAAAGTTTTTTTGTCACTTTAGTAAATGTATTTTTATAACTGGATATCTATAATCATCAAATTTTAGTTGAGTAGTAGACCGTGAAATTTGATGTTATATTTAATGAAGACAGTGCATGTCTCAAGACTTGTGATTTTCTAAATTAAAAAAAGAATTGAATTTCACAGTCAGCACATTGCATGTGGTGGAGTTGTAACTGTGCATGGCATATTATTGAGGGAGTTTGGAGTAATAGTTGCGCAAGTTGAAAGGAAGCCCGAGTGAATGTGACCAAAGACTGTAAACCGTTTGTTTTTACTTGGCAAAATTCATTTCAAGAAATCAGTTTACTATATTTAGTGGAGTGTAGTGGAGGGCAATGGTATATTGTGGTAACTCAAGATAAATAGGTGCATATTTAGAAGGAAGCACAGAGGATTGATTGCAAATGGAAGACTGTATACCAAGAGTTTATTTTTAATTTATAAAACCAACTTTTATTAAATCAACAGAATTCATGTACAGTTATGACTATTATATAAATTTGTTGTATATTATTGTGCGTAGTTGTGATATGTAGTCGTTTTAAAACGAAGCACAAATAAATGAAGCGTGTGTCGTTTCTTGCTTGATACACTTGAACGATGATGTTTTCTTATGGTTCATGTCACAGTATTTTCTTGTAAACCACGCTTTCACCACTTTACTAAAAATTAAAAACCTCCCTTCTATCGAATTCTAGCTCATTGGGTCAAAGTTCTGTATTGTTCCGCACCTATGTTGTGTCATGCAGGCCATTTACCTGAGCTGTGCGAAATGAAGATAGGAACTGCAATTCTGAACTTTTGGCTTACATGTTTTCAGCTGTTGAGTGTACAATCTACTTTTCCAATATTCTGTAATATACACATGGTATATGTGTGTGTGTGTGTGTGCCTGGTGAAAGCTACCAGATGGTGCATTTTGAGGAATTGGGTTTTATTGCAATTTTCTCGTACAAAAATAATTTCTGAACAACATTACTTAAAAATTCTAAAGATAGCTTCAGTGTTTTGTAAGATCTGGTCAGTATTGTAAGGAAATGTGTGGAAACAAAGCAAGAAAAATGGCTTTGAAGTTTCCCTCAAATCTAGATCGAGTTCTTCTCCAAATGAATATATATCAATCGATCAATCGGCCAGCCTGGTTATTTTTCTCCGAAACCCTTGACAACATAGTTACTACTCCAAGTGCAACTTCTTAAAGCAGTGTTTTCATAATGAATTCATAGGCAAATGGTGCTAGCAATTTCGCAGGATGCCTTTGTTTTGCTCATGTAGTGGTTGTTGACAGTACATATTATGTGTGGCGCTTCCCTTCATTTACTCTGTCATTGTATTTGGGGGCCCTATGCATTGAGAAAATGGAAACGAACTGACTTAAATTTTGATATGCGATGTGAAGGGGTAGATTTTTTTTTCAGGAGTTGTAAAAATCGTCATCAATGACAATGCCTGAAATTTTGAAGAATGGCTTTGAGACTTTGCTTTACTCGTATCAGATATCTCCAACACTTCGAGGGATGGTGAATTTACAGGAAAAAAGAGAGGCATTGAAGAGAACCAAAGGAAGTAACTAATGATATAGTAGAATGTGCAAAGTCTCTCAATCTTTGCTGTTTTGGTACTTTTATGTGTAATTAACAGTAATTCATTGCCCGAGAAAGGTCACAATCCGTGGGTCTCAACTCAGAATTCTAAAAAAGGAGGAATTTCCGGGTGATCGCCACAGAAGCCCATTTTCGCAAAACACCCTTTTTTATTATACCTTTGAACCCTAGAATGCTGAAATAAAAACCATCGATTTATCAAAGCAAGGTAAATTCCCGGGGCCTGGCAGTCACCCTGCTCCCAGCAACTCTCTTTCTGATTGGCCCGCTGTCGCGGTAGTGGAGTTTAGCGGAGGAAATGGCGGTAGCGGAAATCCGCTAAATAGCGGAATATTGAGACCCATGCAATCTGACCTAAATTTTGATATGCAGTGTAGGGTTTGTTTCTATGAATGAGTCATAGAAACCCTCCTCAAAGTAGGAAGGAAAATATGGCAATAAAAAATGTTCTCACATATTTTTTAATATTACTTAAGATGACTAGTGTCAAAGGCTTCTTTTAAAATTCATTTGATCATAAAGTAAATAGAGAAGAGGCCAAAGAATCATTTTTGGATGGAACTCGAGTTTTGGCCTTTTATGCTTTGTTATTCTGTTTGAGGAAATGAGTCTAATGGTACCTTTCTTTAGGCATGCACACATATATGTACATGTATATTTATATATTATATTTGCGCTCACTTAAGCAAAGATATCTCCCAACGTGTCAAAGTATGATAAATTTACAGAAAAAAAGAGAGGCATGGAAGAGAACCAAAGGAAGTAACTCTGATGATATAATAAGTACTCCGAGCATCCACCTTCACATGACTAGATTCAAGTAAGGTAGTAGTTCTAGTACTTTTAGCAGAGCCTTGTGTAAGATGATGCCTCGTGATACCAGCAGGGGGCGAGTCAGGTGGGTGGTTCATGTAACTGATGCCCGTAATGATGGGTGTTTATTTTCTAGCTTGCAGGCAGGGCTATTTGCATTTGAGACATATGTGAGAAAAATTAGATCAGACTTTTCGAGATAAACTGTTCAACACTTATTTGTAGGTGTTCCAAGAAAGCTGTGCTGCCAGTACAAAGAAAATATATTATAGCAGTTCAGTCGAGTGGGGTAATGGTGTACCATATGAGAGCCATCTGTGAATTTGAATTTTGAGGGTTTGAGTTATCTGTGCATATGTAAAACATGTAGGCGTACATATGTACAGACACACACTCACAAACTCTCCCAAATACACATACTGTGACATAGAAACAGAGAGAGAGAGAGATAGTTTAGAGTGAATTATAATATTCTTATATTTTTGGAGGTCTCTGCACGCATTTTTCTGCAGCTGGTTAACCTCTATTGTTCCCATTTTCCTGAGGACAGTTTGTTCCATTGATGGGTTTTTCTCTTGTGAGAGATAACATTTTAGTTTCTGTTATTATATTAAATATTAATTGCTATTTAACCCTTTGTTTCCAGCTGTATTCATAGTAAAGTATGTGTGAGTGATAGTTGTCACCAAGTGGAGGCAAAGTGTGAATTTTTTACTGTATATTGTGTAAGAGAGAATTATCATTACTGAAAAGGTTCCAATCTATACTAATCTTTTTGTTTACCTAGTCTGCAAAGCGTTCATGTATACACAGATTGGTTACTGGAAAAGTTTTTATTGATCATCTTTTTAGCATTTTCTTTGGTTCGAATCCCGTTCTGCCTGATGTTCTGAACTTGGGTTGTTTTTCATGGCGTTTTTAAATGTTAAATACTGAGGTCTCGCTTTGTGAATAGCCTTACAATATTGAAATGGGCATTTAACCTATACAATGGTGATGATTGTCATAAAGTGCACCATCTATTGAAGGGATTTTACGAGTTGCTGTTGTTTGTTTTAGGGTTATAACTGAACAAACAAGTTCAAGGGAGTATTTTTATCAAACTCAGCTAAGAAGGCTTTAGACCCAAATTTTGTTGTATACAACTTGGGGGGGGGGGGGGGGGGGAGAGGCCAGTATTGAAATTGAATATGGTGAGGAGAGATGATGCACCTTGTTTCACTTTGATCAGCCTTTTTTATTGTCGTCAAGTCATAGTAAAGCAGGCATTGTAAGTTTTTTTTTGCCACTGGGTAAAAATGGAATCTCACGCTATTCAAAAGTGATAATTGTTGGGGTTTTTTTGGGTTTTTTTAATTTTGGGTTCATCTCCCTATCTTTTTTTTTTGGGGGGGGGTGATAAAAGAAATTGAAGAAATTTGTGGTTAGTGAAAAGGTACAGTGTGAAAATAGAAACATGAAAAGTTAAAGAACAAACTTGGTGGTAAAAAATATTTTTGTGGGTAATTGATTTTGAGATATATATATATATATATATATATCTCACAAGGCTCATATAGTTAAAACTCTTGCCATCAAAGACAAAGGCATTTTGGGGAAAATCCAAAGAAACTGGGTGGTAAACATCGCAGATCAGGGAGATGTGATGGCAAAGTGTTAATTAAATGTTTATTAGAGGGCAGTTTAGTATTATGCACTGAAAATTGCTCTATGCAAACTAATTTTCAAGTCAGTAACAAAAATGAACACTCTGCTGTACCTCTTACCACCTGTGCAAGTGTAAGTCACAGATCGCTTACCTGCTTTGGAAAAATTACCGATACATGGACATTCATGATGTTGGACTTACACTTACAATGATGAAATATTTTATTCTTTTCTTTCTTTAACCTTCACCATATGCCGTGTACTAAAAAAGGTACATTTCATTTTATTCAGTATGGCTAGCTTCACGTCTATGAGCAGCTAAGAATGCCTCAAGTACTTGATTTTCAACTTTGAAACAATGGCCTTTAATAGTAACTGTTCCAGAATTGGTGCTTGAGGTACACACTGCGTAGTAAATACCGACGTACGGTAAAGGTTAATGACCATTTGATACTCTGCGATATTAGTCCTTTGGTGTAAACTGTCCTACCTCTGTATCCCCACTTGATGTAGACAATCCAATGTCCCTGGCGGTTTGCATCAATCTTTCATTTCTCCACATGCAATGAATGTTATATTTATTTGTAAGTTTCTTTGCTCTGGTCACATTCAGGTGTATACTCTTTTTTTTTAACAACTGAGGGTCATACCCTCTGCTTTGAGATGAAACTTAGACATTTTTAGAACGGAACTTATTGAAGTCCTGTAAGTGTAAGTCATGAGGGACCCTCTCTTTTTTTTAGCCATTTTCAATTGTGTTGAGACAGTAGTCTCCACCTAAACGCACGCTCCGCTCAAATGCTCGCTTTCGGCATCTGACAGGTTTTTAACTGTTATATAATTTAGACATACAAACGCATGCTCACTCCCTCTAAACGCACGCTCTGATCCGCATAACATGCCAACAGATAAAGCCTGACAAGGGGTAATGTTCACTAAATCTTCACTGCTTGCATAAGAGTAAGACAAGCCTAGAAACCGTTTCACACCCAACTTTCCACAGACACATAGGTTTAGGACTGGTCGGTGAAATGTTGGGAGGTTGGGGGACTGAAATGTTTTTTTATTGGTCACTGTAAATGCATCTTTGAGAGAAGGTTTCTGACTGGTGTTTGGATGACTGCGTGTAATGTTTAGATAGACCTGGGCCTATGATGCGCAACAGGCATGAATGCTGTAAAACACCTGAGATAGGCCTTTATAAGATTAAAGATTAGTCAAGTAAACGTAATCAGCTGCGCTCGAAGACCCCCACCCCAAAGGGAGATCATTTAATATCGAAGCAATGAGATAACTGCGTCCCTTCCTCCCTTTTCAAAGGTTCATGTAAACACACGCTTCGTTATAAACCCACGCTGAGGAGCCCTCCTAAGTACCGTGCGTTTAGGTGGAGACTACTGTACTCTCTTTATAATGTATAGTTTTTCGTTAATATGGCAAGATATTTTTATCTATATTAGTTTTAGTCACTTGTTAATGTTGTGGAAACGTTGGAAACCACTGGCTGTAGTTCAGGCTGGAGCTTTTTTCCTGTGATCCAGTTGTTTTTTATCAGCAGCAGGAAAAAAATCTATAAAATATGAGTATAGATTATGTAGAAGGTTTTTTAGAACTAAATGTCTTGTATTGTGTACTTTACATCATTTACAGCTTGGGTATTTTAGTGTAGAGACTAGAATGAAATTTGATGTCATCAGATTGTAATAAGAAAGTGCAAAATAGAGTGACAGTGTAGCTGGATTTTTTGTTTGTTTGTTTTTTTTTGGAGTCGCTTTTGAAGAATGTAGCTAATGTATTCAATTTTATCACCTGAGACTGAGAATAAAAGGATACCTGATAACAGTGTGTCACTGACTTCCAGTTGTTGTACTTCAATGTATACATCAGCTCAATACTTTTATAAATGCTGCAGATTTTTAAATGGTTAAAACAGTGTGACTACTACTACTAGGCATTTATAAGAGTATTATGAACAAATTAGCAGAATTAATCCCATTTGACTCATTTCAAACTACTGTTCAGTTGAATTAATTAAGCTGACAGACTTTCTTTCAAAAACAGATCAGTTGTTAGTACAAATTTCTATGCCACAAATGAAAGTTTCTTTTTAAAAATTTAAACCAAATATTCGTAATAGTCGAGCCCCTTTTTAAAAATTTAAACCAAATATTCGTAATAGTCGAGGGGGCTCTCGTGTTCTAAAGGTAAGGTAACCCTTTCTTCTTTCTGCCTTTCTACTGCTGTCTTTCAGCCACACCCCTGATCTTAGAGTAGTTAGAGCAAAGAAATCTCAGAGGTCCCATGTCCGAGTTGCGCACATTAAAATCCCTTGGGGGTCCTAAAACTAAAATCAATGATTAAGAGCAGGCTGCGGCCAACACCCGAGCAAAATTCGAAATTGAATCCTACCAAACAAAATGATTAATATGTGTCCCGTGCGCTCATATGACCTTATGTAGTTGCAAGCGCTTAAAAACACTTACAAAAAGACAAAGACAATATGAATACGAAAACTGTAAATCAGATACCTCGAACAATTTTCCATTCTCAAACCAATATCTCTATATTTACTGCATTTCTGCTTACTTTCATTGTCTCTGTTTTGTTGGTGTTGATCTTTATGTAGTAGTTTTTACATTCTTCGTTTAATCTGGAGGTGTGGTGTCGGAGACTTTGTTCATCTTTGTGTACCAGGCTTTGGTCGTCAGGGAAGAGTAATTCATTTAGGGTGTCTGGTTCTGTGTTGGCCTCTTTTGTAATTTTATCTTATGATAAATATAGTAGTGGTGATAGGACACAACCTTGTCTTACTCCTGATGTTATCTCGAACCATTCTGTGAGTCCCTCCGACGTTCTTACTGTACTTTTGCTGTTCTCATAAATGGCACGGGAGGTGGAAACTGGACAAAGTAGGGGATGGCTGGGTTCAAAGAAGTACGGTGTGGCTTTATGCCACTGAGGCGTCACGCTAGCCGTGAAGGAGAACCCGGGTCACCCCGAAAAGTTGCAGGCTAACAGGGCTCTGGTGAAACTGTGACAGGCCTAGCAAGTCGGCAGTGGATTATTTATTGCTACAGAAACTAATAGAAGAAATCTCTTTATATTTAAAACTTTAATATAATGTCATTATAATGGTTTTCTGAATCATGGATGTGTAGAAGTTGAACACATTTGTCAATCCCCAACATGTTTGTTGAGTTATCTGCGCTCAACTGTACTTGTAAACAATTAATATCCCCATCTACAGTACAATGTATTTAGTTTAGATCATATTTTAATAAGATAAGGCAGGCTACGACGTCCCTGCCTGCCATGGCAATTTGGGCAGAGTGAGGGACAAGTACAATGACCTTACAGTAACTTACACTTACAGTCAGACAAGCAGTGAAACTTGAAATAACTTCTCCACTGAGACATTCAACCTTTGTCTTCAGTGTGTTCGTGTTATGGGAAATACCCCAAGCTTTGCACCACAAATGAGTGAGCCTTGATGTTCAATTTGTCATAAAACTTGCAAAAAGAGTGCAGTTTGGTAGTAAACAGTAGATCTAGCAGTGATTCACATGTAGCTTAAACAAAAATTAAGTCTAAGCATCACTTTTCAACCTTCCTCTGAATTTTGAGGCTCAAAATATTTAAAAAGACTCCCAATGAAATGTTTCATTTTATGAAACATCCAGATACAATAAGGACTAGCTATTTCCATACATTGTGTACTGGTTTTCATTACATGGTCCATTTCCTTCAGATATGAGCAAAATGCCAATTCAACACAAAAAAAGGGCCCCGGATTTTGTAGTGCACCACATCAAAGGGAATGAGTTAAACTTTAAAAACCCCATACATGTACCAGTTCAGTTTCCTGTCCCATACTTGATGTGAAAGAGTTAATCGGGTGCTTTTTGATTTCGGTGGGTAACATTTTCCTCCATGCACCTGGAGACTGCTGCAAAGCTTTACTTAAAACCCAGTGTGAGTGATATTCCCCTGAAGTCGGGCAACATTCAAGAATCCTAATCATGACCTTGAACTGGGTTTCCCATCAAGTGTATGTACGGTGAGTACATCTAATCCAAATGGTTTGTACCATACTTTGAGTTGGGGTCTTCCATGTGAACATGAAATTAAGCTTTTCCCAAAGGGTGGAGCAGACCCTCTAAATTTAAGTACATGTTATAAGACAAAGATACCACAAAAGGAAACCCAAAACTGCTTAGTCAAGAGGAAACTTTTTATTTTGTCAGAGAAGTACAAATCAGCTAGCAAATGAGTGTCAGCTTCCCCACAAAAAGGTATTCATAAAGCAAATGAATAAAAATACCATATTATCATTATCATAACATAAAAGTGTTCCCAGTTTTTATGTTAATCAGCGCTCTGCTCCCAAGACAGCATTCCATGTATTGTTTGCTCTCCTGAGTATTTCATAAGTAATCACATCAGCTGAAAGTTTTTTTTAGTGAATAATCTCAATAATGCAGATCACCAGAGTCAGTCACAAAGGCAGTGTACTCGCTGCACAAAATGAGTCAAGAAAACTTTTGATCCTCGGACAGAAGAATTAGTTGACAGCATAAGCTTTCAGCAGTTCCTTCAACACAAACTGAGGTGAGTTACAACAGGTATTTTTTACATCTGGCCCAGTATTTTTCGATTTTCGATTGAACTAACACATTGGCCAATCTCTAAATGAAAAATAGTTCATTTCTGCAGGTTCTGATATTTTTGAACAAAGCATATCAGATGATCACAAAAGTGACTGAGAATACTTAGATCCCAATTACTCTGTACTAGAAAGGTAAAAAAAAAAAGACTTTGGACTCTTGATGAGGTTGCTCCATGCACTTCCTCAATTAGTCTAGTAGTTCATGTAACTCCCAGTTTATTTTTGCCCATATTCCAAATAATATGATGCCTAATATTGAAAATCTGTTTTCATCTCAATAAAACCCAACATAACAAAAATGATAGTGAAAATTATAAGTGTCTACTTTGAATATTTATCCCACAATAACTGTTTTGAAACACCCTTGAAATGTCAGCAGCCAGAGTTAAATTAAATTGGGATTTCAACCCCTGGCAGTCAATGAATAAACAAATGTCCCCCACAGACACACACAGATGCTCAACATCCACATGTGTTCTATAATGTGTACATATGAGAAGAAAAAAAATTCTAATTAAGGTGTTTTTATGCCCCCATCGACATAATTTTAGATCAATTGGCATCAAGGTTTAGAAGGAAGGCTTCTGACTCTCAAGTAGATTGAAGGAGAAGGGGATCCAAAAAGGAGAGGGGAAACACAGCCATCTGTGCGGACCAGTCTGACGGATCTCCAACCAGATTATGATGGACACTATAAGCAGATAGACTCAGGCTTCTGACTCTAGGTAGATTGTAGGAGAAGGGGATCCAAAGAGGAGAGGGGAAACACAGCCATCTGTGCGGACCAGTCCGACGGATCTCCAACCAGATTATGATGGAGACTATAAGCAGACAAACTCTGGGATGGATCCTGAAGAGGGGGGGGGGAGAGCAGAGATGGACATGTTCCGACTGCAGTGACCCCAACATAGTGGACAAGTAAGACAAGTAAGCTTCTGACTTCATGTCACCATCAGAGCCAACCCAGGTTTAGAAGGATACAACACCCCAGCAGAAAGACCAAGATACTAGATAAAAATTTCTCCTCACCCAGGAATCGAACTCAGGTCTCCTCTGTGCGAGAGCGAAGCCCCTAATTGGAGCGGCTACACCAAAGATACAGGTATACAAGACAACACATCCACATATATGGTTTCACAAATAAAAAAGAAATGATGTCATTTTCTGCATTCAACAGTTTTAAATACCATCTTCAAATATCAATGCTATAAATAAGTACAAATGACTAGAAGTACCAAGAAAACCATAGAGGCTTCTTGGAATTCTGAAACTGTCAAAACAAAGAGACATAAACATTACTATAAAACAAAATTAATACAGGAAATAAAAAACATTGCAGAAAAATAAAAATTAATGCAATGGCCTCAAGATTCAGGGAGGTTAACATGCCTTCACTTTCACAGGTGTGAAAAGAAGCAAAGTGCTGAAAAGGAAACTGCTCATTTCTCGCCATGCAAGCAAGTGACTAATTTACTCTAAAGATTATTATGATTATAACAAATTCATTTCCTTATCCCTGGCAGAGCAACTTCCAGTCCCCATGTTTGGCTCTGAACTGTCCTGAAACAAGAAACAATAACAAAGCTGAATGAAAGTGAAGTAAATATGCACATTTTTTTCATTACATCATACAAAAATGATAAAAGTAACGTTACAGACCATTATTGAGAAACTAATTTGCTACTAAATATTTTGTTTTTATAACGTTTTCGTATCAAGTTAGACATAAATAGGTCATTCTGAAGGCAAAGAACGTGACATTTTAGTTTTAGTCCAGGTAAGTGTAAGTGTTTTACGGCACTTACAACACAATTAGGTCATACTTATAACATAAGTGTAAAAAATTTGGGGTGTTGCAAGAGAATAACAAACACAAAAAAGGAGATATAAAGATGATAGATGCTTGATAGGAAAGAAGGAGACGGAGAAAACCACATCAGAGCATCCGCCAACCTCCTGCTAGAGAACTTGACCCAATGAATGATAAGAAACAAGAAGAATAAAAAAGGCACAAACAATACAATGTACAAAATAATAGCACCACATATATGTACATCAAAGATGTACAGATCAAGTTCAAGAACACTATTTCACAATCAGAGTGTTGGCCCGAGAGGGGGCAGGCTCAGTAGCCCAAAAGGTATTGTATTCACCTATCGATTTGAAGTTTGATTTCCACCAGAGTCAATATTTTTTCATGTTTTCTACACCCCTGATCCTAAGGTTAATGCTGTTGAGCACCTAGTCTTCTCAAATGAGGATGAAAAATTCCAGAGGCTCTGTGTGGAAATTTCTCATGTAAAGTAAAAGTAAGGTCTGTTTTGCAATTCTCAAATTTTGAGTAGTCCATTCGGCCTGTCGTCTGGACAAAATTCAAAAGAAATTCTTACCCAAAACAGCAGCTACTCTAGTTAGTAGGCCCTACAACTACTAAAACATTAAAAGTACCTTTGAAAACGGTTGGTGGCTGCCCGTCAGGCAAGGGATGATTCTGTGTTCAAATGCAGATAAATCAGCTATACTTTGTTGATAAAGATCAACTGCACTGTAAGATGAAGATCTGAGAGCCAGTTACCCACCTAAGCTCTACCTGAGGTATTCAGAAGAAGAAGAGGACTCTCTCCAGCTGGGGAACAGAGGGTTCAGTAACCATTTCCACTGTCCATACCCATTAAAGGGAGCTATTTTTGCATGTGAGCTTATAGTACGCTCCTCGCTTACTGACTCTTCTTTTTTCTTGGGGGGGGGTGGGGGGGGGGGGGGAGATTTCCTGATAACTTTTAAAAAGAGCTGCACTGACCAGTGAAAGGAAGAGAACCAGATTTTACGCTGTTGCAACAAAATTAAAAAGAAACAACAGAGGCTTCATTCTTGATCCTCATAGCCACATGTAAACCAATTCATTCCCAAGCTGGTAGCATCCAGTGAAAAAAAAATAATAAAACTTCACAAAAGTGACCACTTTTCTTGCTTATGAGACTCAACATAGAGAGCTTGGCCTGGATGCTGTGTGACGAGAGCCTGATTCCACCACGCTGCCTCACATATATATGTCAAAGTAACAAAAGCAGCTGTATACAGATTACCTTTATGTCCAATGGTTCCAGTATTCACGTGGGTCAGCTGCCAGCCTCCAATAATTGTAAGGGGACCAGGACTCTTTCCTTGCTTGTAAAGCCCACACAGCCATTGACAATGATCTCATCCAGTATCAGGTACACTTTCTCAATATTGAACACAATCTTTCTAGAGTCAAGGAGATTCTCATGAGGAAAATATGTCAAAACAAAATGTTGAAGTACTTATCAGAAACACAATAGTACCACAATATCATTGGTCTGATTGTTCGGTTTGAGAAAAGAAGAAGCAGAAAAAGGAAGACAGAAGATAGAAATAACAGAAGGGGGAAAAAAAGGAGTAGGACTAACAAAATGTGTCCTTCACCCACCCACCCATACCAGTGGATCATAATTATCAAGGACAACAAGTTTTTCTACTATTGTGTCGTCAGAAGCAATAATAAAATACTGGGGTTTAGCTTATGCCCAGAGGTAAACTTTATCACAGCAGGAGAGACAGTGGTTGTAAAGTAAAGATACAGACCAAAACTTTTCCAACTACAGTATTTTAAAGATAACATGTTTCTATTAACTCTCTCTCTCTCTCTCTCTCTCTCTCTCTCTCTCTCTCTCCGAAAAGGATACATCAAGTTCAGACTGAAATGGAAAAGGTAACATATTTTTTAAGGCATCGTTTACATTTAGTTAGTTTGGATGTATGCTTTCTACTAAATCTACCCACCGAATTAAATGTTTTCTGGAAATATTTGTTAAAAGTGCTTTCATTTCAATTTTAGTCATTCCACATAAGTATAAGTAGCCTACTAAAGAGATCATTCAACACAATTGAGATTTAACTTTAATCGACTACTTCTAGTGTGCAAATACAAACTGCAAAAATTATATTGCAGAGAGTATGGGTCAGTAAAATATCAAAAATGTGTAGTAGTAGTAGTATGCTATATGTTCCTATACTAAACACATGGTAGTAGTTGTATACATTGAACAGACAACCCAGATTTACTTTTTTTTATTGAAACAATCATGCAAAAATTAACCTTACACAAAATTTCATACATTTCCAAAAAATTCAGGTAACAAACTGTTGCTTTTCCCCCCAACAACTGGACCATTGAAGACATTTTTTTCCTGTTTTTTTTTTTAAAGACAGGTTACCATACAAATGAAATAAAATATGGTTCATCATTACATTAACTACTCTCACATGAGTATTTGAGTGGATGACTTAAAAAAATGTAGTGCCCAAACAACAAAACGTTAACGCTTTGAGTAATTGGCTGCAAAGTAAATTATAGTAAATAAAAGAAATATATAGACAAATGCACAAAATCAAAACTGGAAAGTACTTGTCTAGGTACAGTGGAAACCTGATATAACAGGGATGGAGGGACCAGAGAAAAAGTCCTGTTATATCAGATCATCCCTGTTAAATCAGAAATGCAAGGGAAGTTAGCATTTGTGGACTAATCCAACTGTATTTATTCATGGGTAGTTTACATTACCACGCATGCGTGTTGCTGGGTTAGGGGTAGATCGAAGTCTGCAACACATCGCAGCCCTCTCTCGCTTCACCCACTGCATGTGCTTGCAGTGGCGTGGGTTTGCTCCATCACTGTGCTACTCTCTCTCTCTCTCTCTCTCTCTCTCTTACTTTTTACACATTATTAACGAACCTTTGTCCCTGCTTTTATCCGATTTAGCTCTGACGAGGCCCTGTAATTGCCAATAACTGTTAATAGAGACAAAAAGTAGGAAAAAAACGGGGATTTATTCAGAAATCCCTGTTATTACCGGATCCCTGTTATTACAGGGCCTGTTATATAAGGTTTCCACTGTAATACTATAGCAAGAACAGTTTAAAATCCACACCTCTATTGGGGGCTCTCGTGGCCTAGAGGTTAAGGTGTTGGCCTCTCATTCAAAGGTCCCGGGTTCGAATCCGGGTAGCGACCGAAACATTTTCTTCTCTAAAATTGTCTCCTTTCACCTCCTTTCCTGCTCTCTAGCAATGTTCTGTTGTCTGCTTTCAATTCCACTTTCTGCCCCCACCCCCTCACCTCCTTTGCCCCCTCCTCTGGGCTCCTGACTCTTTCTGCCTCCTTTCTACTGCTACTCCTTGGCTCCTCCTTACTGCTGTCTTTCTGCCACACCCCTGATCTTCTGGTAGGAAAGATCTACACCTAGCCTTCTCGGACAAGGGCGAAAAATCTCGGAGGGCCCGTGTGCAAGTTGCGCACGTTAAAGATCCCTTGGTGGTCTAAAATCGATAAGAGTAGGCTTCGGCCGCCACCCGGGCAAAATTCAAAATTTCCTACCAACTGAAAATATTAGGTGTGTCCCGTGCGCTCATATGACCTATGCAGTTGCGAGCGCCGTAAAACACTTTACAAAAAAAACCCCAAAAAAACCACCTCTATTCACGTCCCTTTTAACCCAAATGAAAAACAGAAGACTAATTATGTACTGTTAGCATTGTTCTGAAAATTCACTGTGCACTTACAACGTGATGGAAGTAGGCAACAAGGCAGTCCATGAAGACATTGAGAATTTCTTGCATAGCAAGTTCATTCTGAAAAGCAAAAAGGAGAACAAAAGAAAAAACAACACATAAATGTAATTTTGTGAAATTAAGAATACATCATTGCAGTAGTCTCCGCCTAAACGCACGGTGCTTGGGAGGGTTCCTTAGCGTGTGTTTATACGGAGCGTGCGTTTACATGAACCTGTGCAAAGGGAGGAAGGGACACAGTCATTTCACTGCCTTGATATTCTAGTGACCTCCCTTTGGGGTGGGGGGTCATTTTGGCCGATAATGTGACGAGATGTGACTGTTCTGTGAAGGATTCCTCGACATCAGAATCATAGATCTCTACATTCATTTCTCTTGTGATTCGCTGAACAAGTAGAATCTACGTTATAAGTTCTTCGAGCACAGTTGATTAGGCTTATTTGACTAATCTTAAATCTTATAGAGGCCTGTCTAGTGTTTTACGGCATTCATGCGTGTTGCGCACCAGGCCTAGGTCTAACTAAACATTACATGCAGTCACCCAAACACCTGTCAGAAACCTTCTCTCAAAGATGCATTCCCAGTGACCAATAAAAAAAACAGTTTAGTCCCCCAACCCCCCCCCCCCCCCACAACATTTCAGCGACCGGCTAGAGACCGAGACCTAGACCTGTGTGTCTGAAGAAAGTCGGGTGTGAAAACGCTGTCCATCACTCTCTTTGTACGGCATGAGGGGCAGTCTCACCAAATATCCGGTTTTCTAGGCTTGTCTTATGCAAGCTGTGCAGGTTGTAGTGGAAATTTCCCCTTGTCAAGCTTTATTTGTCGGCGTGTTTCACAGATCGAAGCGTGCGTTTAGAGGCAGTGACCGTGCGTTTATATGCCTAAATTATAAAATAATAATAGTAAAAAACCCCGTCAGTTGACGAAAGCGTTCTTTTGGGCGGAGCGTGCTTTTGTATGGGGTGCGTTTAGGCGGAGACTACTGTACTAGAATTTAAAAGAACTAACAGCACTGTTAACAGTCTACTACCGATGAGTTCATGTTGGGGAAGTGAAAAAAAAGACAAATTCATTCGTATTTCAACTGATCCCTAAGGGTCACTATAGAATCAAGTGACATTACACCATCTCTTTCCTGCTCATTTAATTCTAGTACAAGTACTCTCTATTGATTCTCTTGGTTGAAATAATAACACATTTTCTCCCAGCTATCTTTCTATAAATGGATAGTAAAGAGACTCAAATCAAAATTGACTTTCTATGAAGTTTGAAAAACCTGAATGTGGCATACTGACTAGAGTTGGAGCATGAGGAACCGAAGTTGAAGTTTTGTTTCAAATTAACGTTGAGCTGTCAAAGTATTTTCCATCTTCAAAAGCCTCCAAAGAGGAAGAATTTTTCTGTCTGATTCCTGGTTGTGAAATTTTCAAACTTATATGAGAGATTATTTGTATCAAATCCAAGAATCAAAATGGTGTCTGTATAACAATTTTGATTAAATGTCTAAAAACACATGATGAATTCGTTTACAGGAAAAAAAACATTTTTCTGGGAGCCAAAAGTACAATTTTCCTTTAAAAATGATAATCATATTAAAAAGAACATTTATACTAACCTCATCTTTTGTCACCACACAGATGAAACATAAAGTTGTAAACTTCTTGTACACAACTGTCAAGTGATCATGGTAGAAAAAGTTGCACTGTAATAACAGACGATTTACAACACATATTAGTATACTTCACCACCAAGTACAAACACAAAATTATTGTAATTCATTTTGTTAGCAAAGCATTTACCCACAAAGAGTTCAAGTTTGTAGAACTATCGGATTTTATTTTTAGTAAGAGTTTTACGTCCCTTGCAAAACAATAAGCTCATATGTGGGTGGGATCAGGCACTCGTCAATTTTTGGACATGTGGACTTATTCATCATTTTAAAGTTTGTTCATTTGTCTTGCTTTCGGTGAAAAAAAATGCTCACCTATCATCATAGAAGTAGAGCTATTTGTGATTAAAGGAGGTGGAGATCGCCTGGTTTCAGAGATAAAATTAGCCAGAAAATGGTCGCCAAAGTTTGGCGACTTCCAAAGCTTGAGAGAGATTGGAAACTGCAAATTTACATTTTGTGCCTTAAATTAGCATTTTTTCAGTAAAATCCAGACAGAAATGTGTTTCTCAATAAACCATAAAGGTGATGAGTCAAAAAATAAAAAATTTATCAAAATTGCCAAAAGGACAGAAAAATGACAGTTTCTTCAATTTCATCATTTTGACGAGCGCCAGACGCCTGATTTCACTACGATGCCTCACATATATAAATTATAAGTACCGGGGATTAAATGTGTTACAAAAAAGAAGGAGAAAAGATAAGGATGATAGTATTGATAGATGCTTGATAGGAAAGAAGGAGCACACCACACCAGAACACCAACATAGAACTATTGGAACAATTATTTTAATAGCTATTTTGTCACTGAAATCAGTACTTTTTTCCACTTTTAATTTGACCAATTAGAAAAGCTTCAAATATCAAATCATCTTATATATTCTTATGAAGATCAACTTTGCTGCGATATTATATATATAATAATATGCCCGTAGATTTTGTTGGTTGGGGGGGGGGTATTGGGGGAGGGGAAAGAAGTATAAAGTATTGATCGTACAATGGGATCCACTTAAAAACAACCCAGATGAGAGCAACCTCCTTCTAACAGCAACCTAGGCTTATACGTAAGTAACTGAATTTTCTCTGCATAAATAGCCCCCTTTTACAGTAACCGTTTCCTCTAAACAACAACCTTTGTCACTATCAATTTCCAGATGAAAAATTTTTTTTTGAAGGTTCAAAAACTGTGACCACCAGTGACCAACACTGGACTATGATTTCAGTGTGTGTGTGCATCCCCCGCTCTCTTCTATATATATCTACTCAAGACAACTGTCAGGGCCAAAAAATGCACTAACTATGCTGAGTGCAGAAGCTTAGTTTCACACCCTCCTGCCAAGAGCCACCTTCCTTCAAGAGTTTAAGGGGAAAAGTCTTGGTCACTGTGCATTTAGATTCTAATTTTAATAACATTACTGCCTAGTGCCTATGCTTGAACACTGCCTATATTTTCATTTTCTGACAAACAAAATACAAAACCATCCCATTCTGCGATAAGGACCCATGCATCTGTGTGTGTGTGTGTGTTTGTGTGTGTTAGAGTGTGTGTGTGTGTGTCTGCTTGTGTGTGAGTGTGTGAGATGTGTGTACGGTTATCATTATCTTTGACGTACTTACTTCTGCCCCTCTCCATACCCTCTCCAATCCAAAGTTTTGAAAATTCTGTTCGCAGAAACATTCGCCTAATTTAAACATCAACCAAAGCCTTTTCCCAAGGGGATTGCTGTATGGCAGACACAAAGGTATTCAATTGATTTATTATAAATGGGATAGATTTAGATTTTCCACTGAAACATCCAGCTTTTTCTTCACTTACATTAATATAGAACAGGATTAATTTCAACCGTACCTGTTTGCTTGAGCGTGAGAGACACTTTCCAACCACTGCTAGCTCTAATTCATGTTGGTTTTTCTCTTCAATATGCTCGTAAATTCTGAAATTTTAGTGTAAAACATTAAATGTTATCTAAATTGGATAAATAATACAAAGGAGATAAATATATAATAATAATACTAGTTGCAATAAATTATCCAGAAAGCTAATCTTGAAAGCTGTTTTTGTTTAGCTATATATATATCTTATCTTACAAAACCTCAAACATCTCGTAAAGTGTATCTTATTGATAATATAAATCAAATGCAGCTGATTCAAAACTTAGACACCTATCTAAAGCTACCTTAAAGTTCAATTTTGAAAATTGCAAACATATGAGCCCTTTTCTGGAAACACAGAACTGGTAATCTAGTAGATAAGTAGAGAGCACAGGATGGGAGAGAGAGGTATGGGACCCTATTGCCATTGGAATGATTATATAAGAATTTTGCCTGTGAAAATGGTAGACCTATTCTTTTACTTTCACTACCGTCTCATGCTCAGGTTTTGTAAAGCCCTCATAATAATGTTCATCCGTTTCACACGAATATTGACTTTATGTTCGTTGCAAATTAATACTTTTTGAAAAATTTGTATTTGATTGTTTCTGTTCCAACAAGTTCACACTAAGCCTAATGGCGTAATAGTTTACGCACTCTGGACCAATCAGGGGGTTTCAGGGGGGTGGGGCATGCCTCCTGAGGTAAATATTTTTAAAATCCTGGGGGGGGGGGGGGGGACCTCTGTTTTTGCCCATAATTTTGATGTTTGGCAATTAGGGTTTGAAATTGTTTTTTTTAAAATAAAATAAATGATTTGTGACAAGTTTAGCAAAAATTGCTGTAGTTTGACCCTCAAAGTGCATGATCTCTGTGTGCGGGGTGGAAGTAAAACTTTAACAGGAAAATTGTAAGGGGTGGGGGTCGTGGTGGTGGCGCATACTTGTGAGTTTGTGTGAGTGTGTGTGTGTGTGTATGAATATGAGAAGATGTGGAGTGTGTGTATTTATTTGGGAGGAGGGTGGGATTGGGGGGAGGGGTTAAAAAGAGGGTGTGGAGTGTGTGTATTTGGGAGGAGGGGGGGGGGTCCAGCTCTCCTCCATTTCAAAATTATTATATTATGACTACTGGTACTGATTCAAATGACTGCTGAAACAGCCAAAACCGAACAGTCAATTTAACATAAAATATTAATCATGTGTAATCACAATTATATAATAATATCATCATCAATGCCTTTCACCCCACGCAGGGTATAGGCCACATACAAGCTCCTTCCATTTAATATTTATCTCTGTCCTGGGCCATTCTTCCTAGTTTGTTCCAAGTGAGCTTCATCTCTCTCATCATGTCCCTTTCCACACATCTCCTCTATTTTGCCTGTGGCCTACCTCTGCCTCGTGCTCCCTCTGGGTTCCACTGCAGTGAATGTTTTGTGATGTTTCTGCTGGGTTTTCTGAAGGTGTGTCCCATCCATCGCCACTTCCTTAGTCTTATTTTTTTTACTTCTATTATATATCCTTTTGCCCTGTCCATTCCCACAGCTCTTCATTTTTTATTCTATCCTTCACTGAATTCTTAGGATATTCCTCATACAACTGTTGATGAAAGTCTGAACTTTATTCAGCACTGCCTTTGTTGTCTTCCAAGTTTCGCAGCCGTAGAGGAGCACAGAGTTAACATTGGAAATAAAGAGTCGAATCTTGGTGCCCAGTGAAATATTGATAGCATTCCAGACTTTCGATAATTGCTTGAATGCAGACCTTGCCCTGGCGATTCTTGCTTATACATCTGCCTCAGTTCCCCCTTTACCATTGATGACACTTCCAAGGTAGGTAAAGGAGTCCACTTCTTCTAGGGGAGTGTCTTTCACTGTCACAGCAGGGCTTGAAACTTTTCCTGTTTCACTACTTTCGATTTGCCCGGCTGTAAACGTAGGCCAACATTCCTTGATAGGCTGTTGAGTTCCTTGGTCTTTTTTTGCATCTGAGCATGTGTGTGAGACAGCAGTGCAAGGTCATCGGCGAAGTCCAAGTCGTCCGGCTGCTGCCAAGGGATCCACTGTATTCCATTGCGCTTGGCTCTGGTGGCTTCTTTCATGACCCAGTCAATTGCAAGTATGGTGCATGTTGTTGTTATCTATCTAGTAGGAAGAGAAAAGGAGAGAGCAAGCATCCTTGTAGCACTCCTGTCTGTACCTGGAATGGTTCTGAGAGTTGTCCTTCATGGAAGACTTGGCAGTTTGTACCATCTTAGGTGACCTTCACAAGCTTGAGGATTTTGTTAGGTATTCTATAATGCCGTATGAGTTTCCACAGAGTTTCCCTGTCCATGCTGTCAAATGCCTTTTCATAATCAATGAAGTTGACCACGCGAGGTGAATTCCATTCAAGCGATCACTTCATAATGATGGGCAGAGTACAGATCTGGTCCACACACGATTGGCTCATGTGGAATCCTGCCTGGTCGCCTCAGAGCTTCTCATCTGTGCCAGCTTGATTCTCTCCAGGAGTATCCTGATAAAGACTTTCCCAGAGATGAGAACTATTGATGCCTCTGTAGTTGTTACAATTGCTGAGGTCTCCCTTCTTTGGCAGCTTGATTAAGAGGCCTTCCTACCAGTCTGATGCTATGTCCTCATCTTGCTAAACCATTTCGGATAGAGCATAGAGAATTTTCACTGATGTACCTTTATCTGCTTTAATAAAAGGGCTTCCGGTGGTATATGGTCGGGATCAGCTGCCTTGTGGGACTTCAGTGATGATATATAGCTGCAGCAATTTCCTCTTTCAAAGGCGGTTCCGTAACTATTGGCATGTCATTTACAGCTGGAAAAATTTCTGGTTAGTTTTCTGGAGGCGATCTGTTCAAGGGTTGATCAAAGTGTTCTCTCCATCGGTTAAGTTGCCCCTCTGGGTCAAAGATAAATATATCTGTAATAATATGATCGTAAGTAAAATTTATTGAAATTTATATAACTAAGTTTTAATTACACGAAGCTGTAGCTAGCACCAAGCACACCTCTGTGATAGGCCCAAATATAGATGACGTATTACTGCCATTTAAACTGTCTTTCGGGGTTCCCCCAAGATTCTTGGGTTTCCCTCGCCAGTAACTGTTGACTAGATCTCGTCGTCTTTGTTTTTTTGTAGTATTAAATTGTGTTATCTTTTATAAACAATCTCAGCAATTTTCGTTCCTTAAATTTATAATCTCCTCAAAGTTGTACACACACACACACACTTTGACACACACAAGCGCGTGTGCATGCACACACACTTGACACACACATGCGCAAAGCGGGCCAGCCACGGTGAGATCAGAGACAGTCTGGGGAGATCTAGTCAACAGGCGAGGGAAGCCTCGGAAGACGACAAAAATAGATGGTGGAAATACGTCATCTATACTTTATGGGCCAATCACAGAGATGAGCTAGGGTGCGAGTTGTTGCTGTGTTTTAATTTGCTCATAACTCAGATTAGGCTTTTATCTTTTGAGTGTCGAAACATGGTCATGGGACGGAAGGAAAGACTTCCGTAATGAGCGCCCACCCCAACTTAAACAACAATAAAGAAGAGACCTTACCTTGACCCCTCTATTCTACTCTGTCTCATAGTATAGTATAGTGGTCGCTCCTTACGGAAGTCCTCCCGGATAGACTGACTTGAATAGCCTTTACTACTTCTAAGTAAAATATGCATTGTAACTGAGGAGCCTAATTAAGTGAAACTGACATAATTTCATACACATATATTATAATTTGATTTTTTCAATGCAGTGGCTACGTTCACAGCGCTGTTCACGGCGGCGTGAACGTAGTCTGCAGGCTACGTTCAAGGCACCCTGAATGCAGTTTGCAGGCGCTATTGACGTTCACTGCACTAAAGCTTTGTTTAGGGGGAATGTTCACAGCACTATAGCTTCGTTCAGGGGGAGCGTGCACTGCTGGTTTAAGTCAGCCGGTTTTAGTCAGTGACGACAGTGACATAAATATATTAATAATTTGGCCAGCTTCAAGTGTTCAATCCCATGAGATGAAGGAAAACGAAGCGCCCGTACAGAATTAAGGTCGGGATATGGGATGGAAAATTGATGGGAATCAAGAGGTGAGAGATGAGAAACAGAAGGTGGGATTCGGAAGATGGGACTGGTCATAAAATGTGTACAATAATGACTGTATTGCACCGGGTCAACCTGGGAACTGACGCAGAGAGAAAATGACGGGAATCAATTATTCATAATATTATAATAACAAACACCCCCTCTCTCTCTCTCTTTCTGTCTGTCTATCTCTCTCTCCCCTTTCTCTTTCCTTCTCTCTTTCTCTCCCCACCCCCCCCTCCCAACCTGCATGCTTTCAACTCGAGAGCGCTGGAACGTTTGTTTACACTCGTACGGGCCACCACATGCTAACAGAAGGTCGCGCCCAAGTCTCGCCTGGACGCGAGATAGATAGGGCAATTGAAACATCCTGAGTGCATACATTTTTGTCATACATTGTATATCCTAATGCGTTGTTGCATAATTGAGAGTTCGTCGTTTTCCATTCCACCGGCGAGCTCTGAGCCAGAGCTCAGTGAAAGGGATAACGATGAATGGTCGATCGGTCAAGGATCACTGCTTCGTTTAATTCTTAATCTCATTGGATGGAACGCTTGAAGCAGGCCAAAATATTAAATATACGTCACTGTCGTCACAGACTAAAACCGGCAGTGGACGCCCCCCCTAAAAGAAGCTTTAGTGCTGTGAACGTTTCCCCTAAACGAAGCTTTAGTTTTAGTGCCGTGAACGCAGCCTCAACAGCGCCTGCAAACTGCATTCAGGGCACCGTGAATGTAGCCTGCCACTGCCAACTAGATAAAATCTACGTTCACTGTGCATTCACAGCGCCGTAGCCGTGCCGTAGCCGTAGTGAAACTAAGTTTCAGTTTCAGAAGGACTTCCATAACGAGCGACCACCCCATCAAACACAATAATAAAGAAGAGGCAGCGCTCATATGACCTTAGCAGTTGTGAGCGCCGTAAAACCCCATACTACTACTAAAAGAAGAGGCCTAACCCTACCCCTAGATCTACCCCTGCCCTACCCCTCAATTCTGCTCCGTCTCATCATAGTGGTCGCTCGTTACGGAAATCCTCCCTCAGTTTCAGTTACTACAACTAGAATCTAGATTAAAATCTAGATCTAGATCTAGATTCTAGATCTAGATATCTAGATCTTGATCTACCGTCGTCATTAGTAGATCTACACTACACCATACTCATGATCATACCTTCGAAGACGAATTCTGCCTTGCTTATTTGCAATAACGCAAAACTGAATCATAGTGAAGCAGGGTTATGAGAACACACCAAAAATTGTAATCCAAGGGCTTCACTCACGGCCAATCTCCTGCCTACACTAGTCATTACATGATCATGACATATATCAATTTTGTTTAATTAAGCCGTGTAAGCTTGCCTAACTCACTCGTCGCCTCGCCTGACCTCACAACAACAAAGTAAAGTAACAAAGTTTATTTATGCTTTACTTCGTTCTTCGTAATAATCAATTGTCATTCAACTTTTTACAGCAATCCACAAACTAAATTTCTTGCCAGGTTTTTGGGCCTACTTAGTTAAAGTAAAAATAAATCAGGAGTAAAAGTAATCAAAGACCACACCTTGTGGTATGCAAACAACCGTTCACAACAATAGATCTAAAAGAAAGAAAGAAACATTGTGGCACAACGAAAATGATATAAAAGTTTTATATAGACTTTGATTTACGTTCGTGATAGCTTCAAAGAATGTTTAATGGTTGTTGAACTCTCGATTGTAGGCCCCCAAAACAATTCTAGTCGCTGTCTTTCTCTGCCAGAATATTTCATGCAGTTTCTTTGTACAAGAAAGCACAACCATTTCTGCTTTCTGTAGGCCTACTTTTCACGTCTATTTACGCTTTAGGATAAATATGTTTTGAGATAAGTGGTGGACAGGTTTGTATTATTTCACTCTGCTAATTGATTTTAGACGCGGGGACATAATGAAAACCAGTTTTATATATAGCCTAGGAAACAAAAGTACTTGATAGAAAAAAATGAAAAAAGGTCCGCTAGTGTGCTAGTGTGCACATAATATTATACTTTACCACCCCCCCCCCCCCACTTCTATACATGCACGGTACGATCAAACATTTTGACGTTTTAAATTTCATTCCTTCATTGTGGGGGAAAAAAACAAGGGAAAAGGGGGGGGGGGGAGACGGGAACATGTGTGAGCACGAACTAGGCTACATGCGGAAATGTTTAAAGTCTATCAGTTGACAAATGGAGCTGATCATCAAATACTGATCTGGTTTCTCCTAGATCTCCCAAAACATTTGGCTGTTTTGAACAATTTCGGGGGCTATTGGGAGATATATAGCAACATTTGAAAGACATTGATTATCACGAAGCTCACAAAGCGTATGTCATATCGATCAAGCAATTCTAGTCACCCCAATTGGTATCCTCTCTCATCAATATTCGGTTGAAAATTTCCAGAATTTGCGCCATGTGCTGCTCTGCTTTAGCGCAGGTGAAGCGTCTCCTTAAAAAAAATCCACTGCGTCCCTCTTCTGATATTCACAATTGTTTACTCAGCCTGCAGTTTCAAATCGATTGTCCTGCAGAGGATGTTTTGATGCAAAAACTTGCATCTCAATTTAGCTATTTAAATAAATATCCCAAAGCACAAAACTGCATACAATTTTCATTTTACCACATCGGACTAGTTCCGAAAACGTACGACAGTTGTGACGTCACTTTTACAGCTAGCCTAGCGCCCTCTCTCTCTCAATGAACACGAAAATTGTAATGGCGATCACTCAAATATGATAGAAGACGGGCCAGGATCACAACACGGAGGCCAACTTGGGCCCGGTTCTGGTGGATTAGGCATGGTTACCAAATCACAGCAAGATGATGGCATCAAACAACGGCCCCAGTATTCTATGCCAGGCATTCTCCATTTTCTTCAAACAGAATGGGCACGGTTCGAAATGGAAAGATCTCAATGGGAGGTTGAGCGAGCTGAGTTGCAAGTGCGTATAATGCCATGATCTTTTGTTTGTTGGGAAGCACCTGCCACTTCCGTATTTTATTTTCATGTTGAGTTCCATTCTATGATGTCATTCGTTTGTTAGATGCTGATTATTTGTAAAAACCACAGTTGTTGTCAATTTACGACCCGATTCAAGACCAGTTCCGTCACTTTTCAAGTCTCAGAAATTATTATGATCCCGACTCTCTGTTCTTCTCACTTTGTGTAGACACTAGACACTAGACTAGACTATGACTATGACTTGCCATTATACTATGATTACTGCAGTTCAGGAAAGGCTTATCAAATTGGATATTTTTTTACTTTCCCTCCCGCCTCACACTCTCGGCTACCAGTTGTCTATTTTCTACTAAATATTGATGCCCAGAACACGAATATCAACTTCATTTCCGTCGCAAATTAATAGTTTTTAAAATATTTTTTGTTTTTAACCGAGATAGACGTGCTTTGGACCAATCGGGGGGTTCCAGGGGGGCCTGCCCCACTGGGGTAAAAGAAAATCTGGGGGGTTACAGGGGGGCATGCCCCCCTGTTTTTACCCATAATTTGATATTTTACAGTTAGATTTGAAATTGTCTTGAAAATAATTGATTTGCGACAGTTTTAGTGGCTTTACGTGTGATCTGCAGCAAACAGTACTGCAGTTTGACCCCTGAAATAGTGCATCTGTGAGCGGGAGTGAAAGTAAAAATTTACCTCAAATTGTAGACCTCTTTCATTGTCCACGTACGTCTTGTCTTGTCTTAGAACTTGACTAAAATTCTAGATCTAGATCTAGTCTAGATCTAGATCTAGTTCTAGTGTCAGTGGCAAGAAGGTCTATGTACGGCCAATAAAAATCATTATTGTTTGTTGGACGTAGGATATGATGTAGGCTAAGAATCTAAAGTGTATAAGTAGTATGGACTTGCATTGTGATTGTCACTGACTGATGAATATGACATATGTCAAAGACAAGACAAGATTCGTTACCCAGACCCAGACTCATCAGATCAAAAAAAGGGCTTACTGACTTACTTTTTTTTATTAGGAAGTGGCTATTCTCATCCGGGGTGAGAATAGAAAAACGATCTACCTCTCACCCCGGGTGAGACTTGCCAGCGTAGGCTATTCTCACCCGGTGCGAAACAAGACCTGCTTTTCCTCATTTTGGAATACTGTCTATCGGTGTGGATGATCAAATTGATAAAAGCCAAGAAAAAATTACGTTATAGCACAAAAGTAAGCTAATTTGATCGTCTTCAAAGATGCTATGGCTATTTCACTGTTCGAATCGAGCCGAACTACGCGGGTCGCCATTTTGTTTTGCCCGGAAGTTCTCGCAAGATCTACTCCTCCCCTCTCTCTCTCTCTCTCTCCACTGCCCACATACAAAATTGTACGCTTTTAGTTAGGCTACAGTTGTAATGGAACGTTTGTTCACGGCACAGAATTCTACAATTTTTCTGTTATCACAGTGTAGAATTCTGTGGTTTAGGGTGAACGCAAAATTGTTGGCGCCTAGATCTAGGCTATAACGGTGAACGCGCACCGGGTGAGAATAGCCAAAAGACTAGCCTGCACTATTCTCATCCCGGGTGAGAATAGAGGTGGCCTTTTTATTAACCCCTAGATCTATATATCTAGATCTAGATATCTATCTATATGAATCACAGTGGGTAAAATAAAATTGAAGGTTAGAGTGATTCAGGGGCATTTTCACATTTGGTTTTCCACATATAATGGGCTGACCTGTGACTGAATGAAAATTTCCGGTGTGAGTAGTGAGAATACTGTGTGCTGTATTCTCACCTGTGTTTTTTGTTTCTGCCCTTTTTATTTCATTTAGATTTTGGGGTCTCAATATTCTGCTATTTAGCGGATTTCCGCTACTTGCCATTTTCTCTGCTTAACTCCGGGGGGAAAAAAGAAAGCTATACAACCGTCTTGTCGGGCTCGCCATTGTGACCGGTCAGTGAACCTACGCAAGTTCTGAAAGCTGCGAAGTACAGGACTCTGAAATGGGGGGAAGATTATTGGGTTGTTTTTTTAAAGATACACTCAGGGGTGGGGGGGGGGGAGGTTGGACGCAACACCAGAGGGGAAAAAAATGAAATTGGAAGCAAAGTTTATAATTTTGATTATTACTACAGCTCTCTGCAAAGTAAAGTACACGTTGGTGCAGGCCTTCTTGTGTGAAATCGGGATCCATCATAACTTGTCCAGTGTCACTGCATCTTGCCCTCCCTCTGTTCTTACACCTCTCACACTGAATAGGTCTACTTGAGCTATTCAAGTTATTACTCTACTTTGAGTTTGAGCAATAATTTTTGTCTTTCACGTTTATGATATGATATGAATCATGACACCCAGACTGGTTCATGACAGTTGATTTTCTAGTTCTAGGCCTTTTTTCCGGGCTCAAAACAAGATTCATTTTTATATATTTATATTTATATAGGCAAATATGATGAAGGGAAAATATAAATAAGTCGCACAACACCCCAGTGCACCACCAGTTTATGTACACATAATCCAGATTGTAAATATATTTAGTAAGTGACTCTTGCTTGAAATTATCTTCCAAACCCTCAAATTTGTATATGAAATAACCTTGCTTTGATAAATTAGTGGTTTTTATTTCAGCATTCTAGGGTTCAACAGTATAATAATAATGGGTATCTCGCAAAAGTGGGCTTCTGTTGCAATCACGTGGAAAGTTCCTTTATTTAAAATTCTGAGTTGAGACATTGGTTTTGAGAGTCCATCACAGAAATTATGGGATTTTGGGACTCAACACTGATCATGTTATAAATCTAGAGATCTAAATCCTAGATCTAACGCACACAAAAATCCTTGGAAAAAAATTTCCTGCCCCCAAGCAGTGTAATCAGACCTTCATCTGAAATTTCCACCTCACTGATTTCAGCAAAATCGTCCTCTCAATTGTTCTTTTTGCGGTAGTTTGGTTGAAAATGAAAGAATTATAACTTATAACAGTTCAGCGCTACAATGCAAATCTCGCCATAGTTGTCGAAGCCCACAAAACCTGGCCATTTTGCAATTCAAAACATCTTGGCCAGGTTTTGCAGTCTTCGACAATTGGGTTAACTGGGGTATTGAGCGGCTGAATTCCTCTGCCTCGCGGTCTGCTGATGCCGACAGCAGCAGTCTTCGTCCGCCTCACGGTCAAGTCGTTTTAAGGGTATCTCGTAATCATTACACTCTTATTTCACAAATTTCTATCATCCTATATTTATTTAGGCTAGGCTTACCTGTTTTCAACACCCAGGTAAGAATAATATTTGTTGTATTCTCAGACAGGGTGCGAATAAAATGAATACTATTCTTACCCGCAGTGAGAATAACGACAACCAAACATTTTCGAGATATGCACTCTGCACATTTTATTATTTGCAATAGCCTTGCTCAACATGCTGGATTCTACTAAAATGGTAAGAGGAAAGGTTTAGGTTAGGAACCTGACCGCCTAAGGCTACAGTGCCCCTCTGTGTGAGCTCCTGAGCGATATGTTACTAACATTCATGATGATCATCAGAATCACATTCCATATCCCACTCAGGGTAGTCTTCATCATTATCAGCATTTAAAGATAGATCTTCAAAATAATCAATAAGGTCCATGGTAGTAAACACGGTTTCCCGTGTGCGTGTGTGAATTTTGTTCGAGATGGGCAGAGTTGGGGATAGGATCCTGCTCACCACTGTACCGGTGGCTGGGCATACAGACAGTTTTTCACGCCACCGATGTACAGGTGGCTAAGGTTTAAAGGGTTAACACACACCCTAATTCTTTATTTCTTTATAAATAGTCTTATTATTGTTAACTGATTTTTAACATCCAGTAGCCTAGGCCTAAATGTAAATAAAAGAGGTGCATCTGGAAGGTTGCTGTTTTTCATGGGTGGGAGATTTCTGGTTTTTATGCGTTTCACATATATATATAGTGCCACTAAATACAGTAAAGAAGCCATATAGTACAGCTTGTTATTTGCACTAAATAGGAGAAAAATACCTCTTTACTCTTTAACCCCATTGGACGCTGGCAGTAATAACACTGTTCCCAATGCCGATACAAGTGACAACTGTTTCGTTTTATTTCCACCAGCTTTTGGGGTTGTAATGAGACATAGTGTACCAGGTTTAGGTGACTGTAGAAAAAACTCGGGAAACGATGGAAAAAACTCAGGGTTTAAAGAGTTAAAAGTTGGGATGGAATTGATGGGGAAAAAAGAAATCCCAACCCTATGTTTTGACTTTTAAGTCTTTTAAAGTAGACATTTGGTTAACTCCTTTTAAGTCTTATAAATGGCAGGCTTATGATGTGTTTGTGACTATTTTAAAATTATTTTTTATGCAGTTAGTTTTATTTTTTGTAAGACTAAACACACTGTCTTGTTTTGTTGTAATTCAAAGCAAATTTTGACAAGCAGAGCTAATTTTTAATTGATAACTGTTCCGGGTCCCAGTTGCTTGCTTTCAGATAAGTTTAGACCTGCCACAAACTAAAGATTGTGTTGGAAAATATTTGAAATTTGAATGGATATATAAAAAAGCAATGCATTTTACACTAAACGACTTGCAATGAGGCAGGGATATGAAATAAACAGACTTCTCAATTGTAGTGCCAACAGGGCTGATTGGTCGCATTCGATCGGCTAAGTGAATAATGGTTCACGATGCAGGTGGAATGGGTGGTTTCCTGGAAGAGATAAATTTGTTGTGAGAGAAAAATGAGCAAAGCTGGTCTGCGGGGGTGTTCACCCTAGCAGCAGCCTCGTTGAGTCCGAGCTTGCTGATTTAATTGTTGGTTGAATCCGGGCTATTGTTATTTATTTTAAAGAAGGAAAAAAAGCGAGAAATCCATCTCCTCTCGTTGAATCTGAGTTCCACTGTATATTGTTTATAAATGACAACATAATGCCCCCACAAAGCCATTTAGCCAAAACCAGTTTCTGTGGTGTTGCTGTTAGGTGCTTTGACTGTATGCAGAAGAAACTTTTTTGATTTTCTAATGGGAAGAAAATTTATAGATTATCTTGGTCTTTCTGCTGGGCCGTGGTATAGAGATCTCTCTAAGCTCAAGTTGACTCTTACAGGCAAAGTTAAAGCCTTTCTCCTAAATCAAATGGTCTAAATTGTTTTGATTGGGGGCATCAAAACACTTTCATAATTTTTTTTCTCTAGCAGGCAAAAGGGTTTTTATTTTTAGCCAAAGAGGTCCTCTTTATAAAATACTTGATGAATGGAAGTTCATTTTAGGATGTCATACATTATGAAATACAGAAATATGTGCGGAGTTGAAATCTGTAAAATAAGCACAATATCACAATGAACTGCATTCAGTTATGGTTTTTTGGGGGGGGTTTTGGTAAGTGTTTCACTGCGCTTGCAACTGCATAAAAGGTCATATGAGCTCGCGGGACACACCTAACATTTTCAATTGGTAGGTTATTTTGAATTTTGCTCGGGTGGCGAACCAGTGACAACCAAGGGTTGTTTAACGTGGACAACTTGCACTCGGGACCTCCGAGATTTTTCACCCTTGTCCGAGAAGGCTGGACGATTGCTGGGTGCTCCGTAGTGGTTTGCTCCTTCTTTCCTATCAAACATCTATTGTCCCCCCGCGGCGGTGCCACTGACTGAAGTGTCTTTAGGCCATTCCCAAAGGGAGGACATTTCTCGTTCTTATGCACAGTAAAAGTGTAAATGGGCTGATTCAACAATGTCACGCTCTTAACTGTGCCTGAACTGCAACAGGGGACTGCGGCTTTTTCTTTCCTAATCCTTACTATCGTCTTTTGTCCTCTACTTCTTTTGTATGTTTGTCACACTCTTGTGACCCGCTATTTCCAGGGTGCCTTGAAAGTAGAAACAGACTTTGTGCTGTTGAAGCTAGAGGGGTGAGCAGAGTAAACCCAGTTCCCTGTAAAGACTTCTCTGTTGACATCCTCCCGTTGGCGCTCCTATGACCTTTTCTGCAATTGCGAGCGCCGTA